GTATGCATGCGGGTGGGAATGGGAATCGTCAGTACAGCCTCCTACCTGCCATTCATTGAAAGGACATGTAACTAATTTGCAAGACGGATATGTGAAAGAAAAAGAGAGAAGGAGAGAAAGTGCAGTAGCATGAAAGTAATAAGAGTGATGGAGCAGATGGAAGGGGAGGAGGAGGAAACTAACATATGTTATGGGTAGTAATTCTATGTAGTTATGAGGAGGCGCAGCTTTAGTAAAAAAATATGTCAAGAACAACTGTCAGTTTGTGACAACAAAAAAAGCAAGTACCTCTCGGCAGTTACAAGATTGCTGCTATCCGATGTATCCATATAATGCTCAACATTGATATTAATGCCCGAACCAATCAGATCTTCCTCGGAAAGCATTGGCAGACTGCTCCGTGAAGCCCTGATCATGCTCTGGGAACCAGTTCGCTGTGAAGTTGTGTTTGCTGCATTGCGAAAAATTTCATACGATGTCAACGAGAACGATGTAAGGCGCTCCAAACGTATCGATTTCCCTTCCAAGATTTTGTTGAATTCATATCCAACAACACCCTGGCAAAACAAAAAACAGCTGTATTTTTGTCGAAGATGAAATGTAGTAACTCGAAACGGCAACTGTGGTAATTCAGCCAAAACCAAGCTATGTGTTTTAGAAATTTTTAAGATGCAAAACATGATGAATATCTCTGCCTAGAGGGGATTGGAAGAAGTCAGGGGCCTGAAGTTTTCTATTTGTTTTATAGTTTGTTTGGCACTGTTCGGCCCACTGTTCAGAGGAACACAATCGAATTTTGAAAGTTTTGGGAAAGCAAAGGAATCTTATGAGCAGTTACAGGTAAAGTAAAAACTCATTCCTTGTTTATTGTCTACGAAAAAGAACGAACACGGTGAATATCTCTGGCTAGAGGGGATTGGAAGGAATCGGGGGCTTGAAGTATTCTACTTGTTAACATACATACTTTGTTTGGCACCGTCGGCTCGCCGCTGAGAGGAACACAATCGAATTTTGACAGTTTTGGGAAAGCAGAGGAATCTTATAAGCAGTTACGGGTAGAGTAAAAACTCATTCCTTGTTCACTGTCTACGAGAAAGAAGGACACTTATTATTCATCCAAATGGTAAAACCATGTACCAACAGTAATTGCCCGCTGGCAAGACTATCGATGACTTTCTTTCGAGGATTGCTTAGAAGCAAGCTTATGAAGAGTTTCAGTGCCTGGCATTAACTATCGAAACGAATGAACGAATTGCAAAGGAACTGGTTTTCTTACTGGCGGAAAAGCTATAAGTAGCATTTCGATGCAGAGTATGAGGATAGCTATAATTATCAATATTTCATAAATGATCAGCTATTGTGAGGACTTTTTATTAAATTCGCATTTTTTCAAAACCATAGGTACTTTAAATCAAAAAAATCTTCGAGAAAATAAAATTCATTTGAAAAAATGAAAAATTTTTTTTAGAAAAACAGAAATATTTTTTTTTAAAATTAAATTCCTCTTTCTCAACAACCTCAACAAAGAGACAAAGCTGTTATCTCGCAATAAACGCCACCAGACGATCCCGAAAAACCATCTACTCACAATAATAGGGGTGAAAAACCACTGCCACCATCATCCGTAGCAGTATTTATCTCGCGAAAAAAAAAACAAAAAAACTGAAAAATCGTCCTAGCTTCTGGGAAATTTCTTCTCCTCAGACGGGGAATCACATTCAGCACATGTGCAAAATGTGTCAGTTTTTCGTCTTCGGTCATCATTGGAGAAGTTAACGATTCTCAGAGTATTTTTATAGTTTTAACACTCATACTTGGTACCTTCTTCCCTGTTTTCTTAGAATAATTTTTGTTGATTTTTGGCAATAAAAAACAGGCCAAGCATAAAATTCATAGTTCTTCAACTAAAAAACCAAATTTAAAGTAAACAACGACTGTGAGAACATTTTTACAGTTCAATACCTATGCTTGGTACCTTCTTCCCTTTTTTCTTAAAAATAATTTTTGTTGACTTTCGGCAATAAATAAAAAACAGGCAAGCATAAAACTCATAGTCCCTCGACCGTAAAAAATAATTAGAAGTAAACAACAACTTGTTCCGTGCTCAAATCAAA